GGTCCAATGCCAGAGTGGCGGAGAGGGAAGGGACTTCACCAGAATGCCCTCTGGCTGGGGAGCTGCGCAGGCTGAGGCGAGTCAGTGCCGGGGAGGAGGGGAGGGCTGGTGAGTGTCGGTGGGGTGGTCCTTGTCCGGGAGGGTGGGCCCTGTTACCGGACAAGCAGGGGTTGGGGTGGGACAAGAGAAGCCATAGACCATGTGACCCCCGATTCTGCACAGGAGCCCGGCTGATGCCCCAGGAGGAAGCATGAGGCCCCTTGCGGGGTGGCTGGGCCTACCTCAGGGTGAGGGTGGTGACGGGCACAGGGTTAGTGTGGAGGCAGAGGGCCTGGAGGGGAGCCCTGGCGCTCTGAGCTGCTGTTATGGAGGCTTTAAAACCACTTCCCCTCTCTGCCCCTCTGCCGCATTTAAAAAGCAGGACATCCTGAGAACAGAACAAGGGTGGCCAGCGAGCTTAGGCGAGCACTGTGCACCCTGACTTCCTCTTGGCGGTCAGGGCCAACCGCCAGCAGCAGCCCCTTCGGGGGGACTCGGGGAACTGCTGCTGCTGCAGAGGGCAGGCGGCTCTGGCCAGTGCCAGGCGCTCCCTCCGGGTGAAGCCAGAGGAGGCACCACAGGCCCAAAGGGCTCAGGGCCAGGAGTGAAGGTGTGAGCTGCTGGCCGGGTTACATCACCCACCCACCCGGCGGGCGTGCCCTCTGCCGGACAGTGGGCAGGCCTTCTCCCAGAGAAGCCGCCTACGGACAAAGACTGCGGTCCATTACCTTTTCTCCCCTGCTGTCATGGATTTTAACATATTTCATTCAACTTTAAGTTCTCTCTCTCTTTCCTCCACTATAACCCAGGACAGCAGTGCCCAAAGTTTTGGTCAAAGGATCTCTTTAACACTCTTAGAAATTGCTGAGGGCTTCAGTGAGCTTCTGTCTATGTGAGTTTTATCAGCATTTACCATAGAAATTAAAGCCAGTGAGTGACCTTAAAAAATGTATTACCTCATTTAAAAACAATCCATTACATAGTCACTTTATATAAAATTTAAAAACCAAACTTTCAAAAACAAAAGCAGTGAGCGGAAGAGTGGCATTGGTGTGCATCTCTGCGAAGCCGTCATGTCTGGCCGAGACGGGTTGCACTGTCTGCCCGTGTCCTCGGCGGGCTGCGGTGTGGTCTTGGTTGGGAAATACAAAGGCCAGCTCCTGCCAGAGTGCAGTTGGGGGAGGACTGTGTGGCCTCCCGGGTCCTTGGCCCGCACTGGCGGCGTGCGGTGGCAGTTAGCGTTAACGCACACATTCTAGAACACAGCGAGGACCAGGACAAAGCCGGAGGGAGGCCCCCTCTGAACGTCCTCGGTCAGGAGTTGGGTGAAGTAGTTGATGAAGCAGCTCCGATTGTCTCCCTTCTCCCTTCAGAAGAGACAAGCCTGCTGTGTCACCGGCCAGCTGTAGCACACGGGGTGTGACACACACAGCATGTACGCCAGCCAGCCAGCCAGCCAGCCAAGGGGCTCAGCGTAGCACACTCCATCCAGCTGAACACCCTCCTTTTTTGGCAAATCCTCTGCTGAGCATGTTCCGGAGAGTCCTGCCTCCCCCCCAGAGCCAGAGACGCCAGATCCCCTCCCCCCGTGCTCCGGAAGCTGCAGCGCGAATGCAGTCCTGAGGCTTCCCAGTCATGTCCCCGGAGACAACAGAGGAATGCCTGGCGGCAGGTGACACCTGGCGCTTACTATTCAGGTGGCAGTGCCATGTGGCATCCTCTCCAAGGGTCCCTGAGGTCCCTGGCCTGACTGCACGTCTTTCCATCTCTGTGTTCGCTGAGCAAGATCCCAACTTCCTCTCGGTCTGAGCCACCTGGACCCCCTGACAGTGTACTGAAGCTGGGCCTGTTGTGTGCCACCCGGACCCCTGGGGAGGGCGGGCTGAGGCCTCCCTTCCTCATTTAGGGTGCTGCCCGGCCTGTCCAGACTGCTGCTTCCGTTTCCCAGGGCGCCTCTGCCCAGCTGGTGTCCCTGTGCCCAGGCTTGCCCTTCTAAGTCACCTTGCAAGCCCTCCATCCTGCAAGCCCTGGGCACAGCACCGCCGTGAAACTCTGGTGGGGTGCCTCCTGTACCCTTCCAGTCTACAAAGGGGACTGAATGCAGGGTCTTCCTTCTCATTTCAAACCTACCCCCGGCCTCACAGCTACACTTCTAATGATTATTACAGTACAAAACAATTCACTTCCAGAATTAAAGGATGCCTGTAAAACAGAGGGGGAAATCATTCATAACCAACCACAAATTTTTTCTTCCATCTTTAAAACAATCTTGCAACATCTGTGCAGACTACGTCTGTGCCTGGGGTGTGTACTGGCCCACTCCACTGAGGTTGGCCTTGGCCTTTGCTTTGGCCAAACGCACGCACACCCGACACACACCACCTGGGAGCAGGGGCTACATCTCTGCGTGCAGGGTCTGGCTAGGCCTCTTGTGCTTCTGCAGAGAAAGAGCGTGCCCCCAGGAATGCTACTCCTTTGCCCGGGACCTGGACTAGAGCCAGGGATGCCTGTGGAGGCCTAGGTCAGACCCACAGCCTGCAGCCCAACTGCTGCAGCCGCCCTGCAGACCTAGGGTGAGTTTGTCACTGAGGGCCACTGACATTTTTGAGGATATTTCCCCACAAAATATGACTAATATGTAGTCATAATACAAATATAACTAGTACAAGAGAAACCAGTTACAGAATCTGACACATGCTAAATACTGTGAACAGTCAGAGGTGCATGGCAATTAGGTCAATCCCCAGGCACAGCTGAGACTGTAAATTTGCAGACTAAACAACTCTCTTCAACACACCACTCCCAGGTTACTTAATGGTCCCGCAGCAGGAAAGAGGCCTGACCCTGGATGACCCAGCTGCCGGAGAAGGCTTGCAATTACCCTCGGGCACAGGCTCTCTAACACGAAGCCACCTTGGGGTAGAGCAGGTAAGGCAGGTCAGGTTCAGAGAGATTGTTCTAGGTCCCAACCAGCCCCTGGCCTGACACTGTAGCAAGGAGGGACTGATAATCTCACTGTTGCCCCCAAGTCTGCCTCTGATTCTCCAGAAACCTGTCCTCCACTCCTCGACCTTACTGAGGTCCATCGGAGATATTACTTGGGGATGGAAGGTCAATCAGGGGACACTGGGGTCCGGGCAACAAAGATGGGAGTGCAGTTCCGGGTGAAGATCACCCCCAGGGCAGCAGCATCCTTCTGTGCGCTTGGCCTGTCACCTCCCACAGGTCAGCTGCCAAATGAGCCCTACCTTCTCGTCGCTTTTAATTGCATCCTTTGTGCATGTGGCAGCCAGATTTGAACAGCTCTCCACTGTATCTGCACTTCCTAACACCAGAGTAGGTAGGTAGGTCCCCAATGAATATCTGAAAAAAGGAATGAATGAATCCTTGCTTACGATGTTAGATCCACTGCTGCCCAGGCCTGCTTCCCACATGGACAGCTGGTGTGAACGGACAGCGTGTGCATGCAGGCGGCCTGGGCTCAGGCCTGGCTGACTGAGCTGAGCTGAGCTGCGGCGCCTCAGGCTTCAGGTGCCCAGGGTCCCAGGGTCGGCTTTTGTAACAAACATGTCCCCTCACCAGGTAACTCATTTACATAGTTCACAGGAAGCACAATTTTGATTTTTACTAAGTTGTCAATAAAAATGAATTTCCTCCAGTCTTCTCCCCAGTAATATTATCAATCCTCATTTTCATTTTACCTCCTCCTGAAAGTATTTACTTGTCCTCAGTCAGAACATTACGCTCCCAGGATCTGGCTTTTGCGTTCTGATTGTCTGATACATCACCCGCACTTACAGAAATAGTATGCTTTCTTTAAACCTGAAAAATCACTTCTCTGTTGCTGATAGATCAAAAAATTTAGACCTTAAAATAATACTGAGATCCTGTTGGCCATTTCTGGTTGAAGCCACTGTCTCAAGCTTCCAATGACAAGCAATACTTTATGGTCGATGAACACTGTAAAATTCTTAGAAATGGACCATCCACTTGCTTACTTCGGGAGTTTCTGAACAGTTGTTACTACCTGTGTGGGGAAATTCAAGGTGCTAATTGTCACCTTATGATCTGGTGCCACTCTGGAGCATGTCACTTGTTCTGAGAGAGAATTTAAAACTGTAGAGATTGGGTCACCTAACGCCCGAGTATTAAGATCCTTGGGATTTTAAACCCCTATGTTCACGCCTGGTACTTTGATAGATCCTACACTGGGTACATACTGATGGTTTAAGCAATCTTTAAGAATATCACAATAGACATGTATCTTTAAATATAAACTTAAAAAATACTTTAACGTAACACGTTGTACTGCATAGAACTAGAATTCAACACATCACAGTGCTAAAATAGTCATATAAATATCACATACGCATGGACTCACTGCATTAAACTATTTCATCTAGTAGGCTATCAAAGACTAGTATCAATAAACTCCAAAGGAAAAACGACTTTAACAGTAGGAACACTAAAAATAACAACCATGAGGTTTATAAACAGCTAATGGGAGAGAGAAGCATTTACATTTGCTTTCAATTTTGTCCCAAGAGGCACAATCTGAATTACAATTTTAGGCTAATAGTGTATAAAAATACTTTTTATAACAATACGTTTGACTGGTGTAGTACCACTTTAAAAAAGCCTCAGCTGTGTGATTATCCTACTTGAGGACCTACTAAAACAAGTTAACTTACTGCTCCCCGTGGGCTCTTCAAGCACCAATCAGGGAAGCAAGTTTTCTCACACGCCACACACCACACGTCACCGTATTTCCAATAACCCCCTACCCATGGCATACACTGGTGAGTCACCAACAGGCATCCATCTCCAAGGCATGAGATGACGGTGTTTGGAGCCTGTTTTCAGTTGTGGGATTGGGATGGATGAAAAAGAGGCAGAAGGTAGGCAGGCTTTGGGTGTGTTATGTATGGTTTCTACGTATTCATGGACGCCCCCAGAGGAGTTTAATCTGGCATATCGATATTTAACTTGGGGGGTGGAGGGACGTATTTCCCAGGGCTCTGGGTTATAACTACCCTGGCTTTCTTGCCAAATATTGGAGCAATTTTAGGAGCATCTGGAACCGACGTTTCTTCGGGATCTTCGCTATCTTCATGGTGGAGGTCGTATGAAATGTTCCCATATTCTCTCAAAAACGGGAAGATTTCCAGCAGAAACTGACAGAAATCTCTGCGAATACCAAACCACCAGTGGTTGCCCCCCTTCCGCCGAAAGGTCGTGGCCATCAAGGTTATTAAGGAGAGCCAAAGCGGGACAAAGATGGAGATGTAAGAGAACGTGTTGTGGCCATCCAGTCTGTGGACCAGCAGGACCTCAAACGTGAGCAGCGGCACGACAATGGTGATCCAGCTGATGGCCATGGTCACGTGCGTTCTCCGCTGCTCGGCGACCACGTCCAGGGACCGCAGGAACAGGAGGGACCAGACGATGTAGTAGAGGACCACCAGGCAGAGGAAGGACATGAGGATCCAGAGGGGCACGAACACCACCAGCCAGGGCCAGTGGATGATCCTGTCCAGCCGCAGGGCGATGAAGATGAACTGCAGGATGTTGACGGAGCACAGGATCTCCAGCTCCAGGGACCGGTCGTGCCGGAAGCCCCACACGCAGGCGGCCACGGACACGGGGGAGACGAAGAAGAGCGGCATGAAGACCAGCAGCCAGAAGTGGGTGCCCCGCTCCACCCGGTCGCACACCAGGACCTCGAACATGAGCAGCAGCAGGTGGATGCCCACGGCGATGAGCATGGCCTTGAACTCCACGCAGGTCTCCCCCTCGGTGCGGTAGCGGGGGTTCCGGGCCCACACGCCCGCGCCCACCGAGGCGCCCGCGATGACCAGCAGCTTCCACAGCCAGATGGGGGCGAAGACGGCCCAGTAGCTCCACTGGATGACGCCGTCCAGGCGCAGGGGCAGCAGCACCGAGAAGAGCAGCAGGCAGGCGTAGATGAGGAACTTACTGGGGTTGAAGTCCTGGAACAGGCCCCTGGGGTTCATGGCGAGGCCGCCGCCGGCCCGCCCGGGGCCGCTGCTCCGCTCCGCTCGGCCGGCGCCGAGTCTCCCCGCTCCCCGGGCTACCGGCTTCCCTGCCCGGCCCGCGTCGCCTGGGGCGGGCGGCGGCTGGGGGCGGCCGGGCCGAGGTGGCGACCCGCGGCGCCGGAGCACGTGGCGCGGTCACGTGGCGGCGGAAGCGCGGGGGCGGGGCGTGCGCCCCTCGCTCAGCCGCGACCCGCCGCCCGGGCTGCGCGGGTCCAGGAGCGCGGCGCCGCTGGGGCCGCGCCGCCGCCCGCCTTCACTCCATACCTGCTCCCAGGGGGTCCTGCGCTGGCGCCGGCGGGGATGGAGGCGGCTCCGGCTCGGGCCCGGCGCGCTGCTGACCCCGCAGCCGGCCCGTTGGCAGCGAGCGGGCCGCGACCTCAGAGACGCTTCCTGGTGGAGCCAGAGCCGAGAGGCGGAGTGAGCTCACATCCTCCCGGCGGCTCGGGGGCGTGGCCAGGCGGGGGCATGGCCAGAGGCGTGGCCAGGCGGGGGCGGGGCCGGAGGCGGGGCCAGGCGGGGCCGGGCGCACAGGAAGTCCGTGGGTGCGAGGCCGCCCAGGGCGCATTATTCTTGGCCGCGAGGTGGCTCCAGAGCCGGGAGCGCCGAGGGGACCTGCGTGGGCGCGAGTGCAGTGGAGGAGTGGGTGGGGGTGCCTGTGTGGGTGTGGGAGGGAGGCCGGGTGTGGAGTCTGCACCGGGTAAAGTGGGGGCTGTGCCTGCAGCTATGGGTCCCAGGGCTGGACTCCGCTTGGTGGGGCAGCAGCGGTTCTCTGGCGGCGGCAGGGCGCTCATTCCTGCCCCTTTGCACCCAGAGGTGGAGGCGTGCGTCGGGGAGGGTGCTAGGCCCGTATTGCCCCTCGGCAAGGTCTGGGCAGCAGGTGAGGAAACGGGCGGAAGAGCAGGTGCTTCCCGCCTTAGTCACCCAGCAGGTAGCACTCATTCAGGGCTCCTGACTTTATGCCCCTAATCCTCATTTTGACTTATTTGGCCGTGCCCCGGGCTCATTCTCATAGAACAAGGTTGGGGAAATCTCTGGACTAGAGGTCAAGAAATTTGGGTTCTAATTCAGGGCTTGCCACTCAACCAGCTGAGAAACCTGGGCAAATGCACCCCCTTCTGTCTCAGCCTCAGTTTCCTGGGCGGCCGAGTGGCCTCTAGGGCCCATGGTGCTGCCGCAGGTCTGACGTGGAGAAGCCCTCTGGCCAGCACGCGGACCCTGGCGGACCCCTCCCTCTCCACGCTCCCCTGCCTGTCAGCCGCCACCCAGCCACGCGGCCCCATTCCCCCCAGGGGTGTGAATACCAGCGCTGGCAGTGGGCTCTGAAGGGGTGGCCATCAGAGGAATGCAGAACACATCTGGCGGCGGGGTCTCCATGGGGGAACAAGGGAGGACTTCCCGGAGAGAAGTGTGGGCCTGGGCCCAGACCTAGGAGCTGGCTTTCCCCTGGCTGGCATCTGCGGGATGTTGGGAAGCCCAGCCCTCAGCTCCCCCACAACTGCTTCCACCTTAGCTGGGGGGGAGGAGAAGGGGGGAGTAGGGGAGAAGATCCTGCTGAGAGAGCCCTGCCAGTCCTCGGGGGTCAGATATCCCAGATGTGTCTTCAGGGAGTAATTGTGAGGAGAATGTTAGCCAAGTGGCCTCTGGTCTCCCCATCAGCCCCTTCCGTCCAGAGCTGCTCTACTCTGCTTTGCGTATGGATTTTTCTTTTTTTTTTCTTCTTTTTTTTCAATATATTTTATTGATTTTTTACAGAGAGGAAGGGAGAGAGATAGAGAGCTAGAAATGTCGATGAGAGAGAAACATCGATCAGCTGCCTCCCGCACACCCTCCACTGGGGATGTGCCCGCAACCAACGTACATGCCCCCGACCGGAATCAAACCTGGGACCCTTCAGTCCGAAGTCTGATGCTCTACCGCTGAGCCAAACCGGTTTCGGCTGGATTTTTCTTTTACTATTTCCTTGAGAATAGGGATTTGTCAGCTAAAAAAAATGTAAAATGTAAAATACCTGTACAGTCCAACTATACAAGGGGCTAGTAAAAGCACGCCGGGTTGGTTTGAGGATTAGATAAAGCAGTGTGTATTTAGAGAAAAGTGAACAATTAATATGATGATACGGGAGGAAGCCTAAGCGGGGAGTGCTCTGGACCGTGGGAATGGTGGGGATCTCCTGTCTCCTCTCTGCAGCCAGACGACCTCAGGGCTTCTGCGCCCGCTCATGGCGAAGACGGGAGTGTGAAGTGTTCGCTCATCTCAAGCTCGTTTAAGACAAGCAGGGTTCTCCTCATGCAGGCGGCGGGTGTGAGGTGGCTGTCACTGTGCTGTGCCCCTGCTGCCCACTCCCGGGGACGCCACGGCTCCGGAGGCAGAGGGGCTGTCTGCTCCCTGCCGCCGACGCTCCTGGCCCCCAGGCTGGACCCAGTCTGTACACTGAGCACTCTTCTCTGTGCTGCCTGGTGTGGTTCGTCTCTCAGGAATCTGCTTTTGTTTTTATATTTAATTTTGTTTTAAATATGTTTTTGATTTTAGAGAGTAAGGGAGAGGAAGAGAGAGAGAGAGAGAGAAACGTCAATGATGAGAGAGAATCATTGATCGGCTACCTCCTACACACTCCACACTGGGGATGGAGCCTGCAACTCGGGCATGTGCCCTGACTGGGAATCAAACCTGTGACCTTCTCGTCCATAGGTCGATGTCCAACCACTGAGCCACATCAGCTGTGCTCTACTTACTTTTAAAGTTCACATGGACTGTCTGCTATGTGCCAGGTGCTGAGGACACAGCTGCCAGGAGGCTGGTATACAAGCCCGTGCAGGGGGGTGTGGGGCATGGGTGCTCCGGGCCGCCAGCACAGGCCTGCGCTGTGTCCCCGGCCTCCTAAGATGTGACTGCTTACCATCCTCAGTCCAGCTCCTGGGAGGCCCTGCAGGCTAAGTCCCTTTCCCGCGTCTGCTAACCTCCCCCCGAATGTTCCAGGCACCGTTTCCACGTTCATGCTCTGCTGTTCTCTGCTCAGAGCGGCCCCCCTCTCATAGCTTCTCCCTTTCCTGGACCACCAAGACCCAGCACGGCCACAGGCCCTGGGAAACCCGTCTGGTGGACTGTGACCCTTCTCTGACCCCCCATTAGATCAGGACTTTTTCTATCACGGGACTCATCTCACTGGCTTGAGTCTGTTTTTTCTATCTTTTGCCCCATGAGATCTAAGTTCTAGACACCCAATCCAGTGCTTAACATAGCAAGTGCCTGAGAAATGTTGCTGGAGGGAATATGTGCATGAATTTGACCCTAACTCATGACTGATGCTCCTGCCCCAGACCCCAGATCCGGGGTTCCCTCCGTCCTCCCTCTGAGCAGTGTGGAGCCAGCAGCCATCCGAGTCCTCTGGCCCACGAGCTCCCTGCCACATCCCAGGCCCTGTGTCGTGCACTCCCTGGCCAGGCTCATCTGGCTGCAGACACCTCATGAATTAGTCAATAGTTTCCAATTACCACTGTAACAAATTGCCACCAAACAGTGCCCACTGATCATCTTGCAGTCTGTGAGCGAGAGTCCGAGCACGGCCCGCTGGTTCTCCTGGAGCCTCCCGGGAATGGGGGTGTCGGCAGGCTGCTCTCCTGGAGGCGCTGGCGGTGAGTCTGCCCCCGGGCTCACTTAGTTTCCTGGCAGAATTCAGTTCCGTGGAGCTGTAGGTCCGAACTCCCCGTTCCCTTGCTGTCAGTTGAGCGTCGATCTCAGCCGCCCGCAGTGCCTGGCCACTCAGAGCCCCAGCACTGGGTCAGGCCCTCATGCTTTTGAACCTTTGCTGCTCTCTCTTCTGCCTTTCCTGTTTCTAAGGGCTCATGGGATTATATAGGGTCCAGCCAGATAATCCAGGGTAGTCTATTTTAAGGTCAGCAGATTAGTAATTGTAATCCCATCTGCAAAGTCCCTTCGGAGCAGTACCTCTGTTAGTGTTTGACCGAACGACCAGGGGATGGGGGGAATGCTGGGGCCTCCTTAGCTTTCTGCTCAGTAGCCTGTGGGGCCAGCATGGTCTTCCTGCTCTGAGCTGGGAGACGGCCAGCTCTGGGAGGCCCGGCATTCCAGAGGGACCCCTTTTCCCAGGGCCCTCCATCCGCAGACCGGTTACCACTGGGTTCCAGGTGGCCCGTGGTGACCCCTGGCGAGCTTGCAGTCATAGCAGGCCAGCTCCCCTGAGCAGCTGGGCCCTGGGCAGGAGTCAGGGTTCCGTCACGGTCCCCTGTCTCCAGGAGACGGGTTGCGTTGTGAATGTCCTCCAAAGGGGCAGGCGGGTGACCTCTGAGAAAGCCCAGGAGTCTTCCCTGTCAGACCCAGTTGCGGTTTGTTTCCATGAGCTTCTCCACAGGAAGCCATGGCTCACTGGCCCCTTTCGTCAGTCTTAGCCCCACCCTCACCCCTCGGCCCAGTCCCTAACGTCCACAGGCTCCCCTCTCCCTGCAGTGGCCTCTGGGGAGGACTGACGAGGGTATGCTGGAGGTTAGAGGCCTTCCTCACTGCGTGTGTGTGCGTAGGTAATGACACAGCAATATTCCTATGTTAAAGGCCCAGCAGGAGGGCAGTGTCGTAGCAGAAGTACTGCACGTACTGCGTAAGCGCACCCTTACATAAGCTACTATTGTTAATGTGGCACCGATGTCGGCAATGGTACGAGGCCTCTTTTGTTTGAGCGTGTGCATAAGGTGCCACTGGTCAGATGTTGGCTGCTTTGCTCGTAATAAAATATGTCCTACCTACCTACGGCTGCTCAAATGTCCTAATTTCTGGCGTCCAAAGGGGTCAGGTCCCTGGCTGAGGAATGTGGACCCGACAATTGGCATAGTTGTTGCAGGATCCTGGGGTAGGCACCCCGTCTACCCCGCCAGAGGGCATGTGGCCTCCCATGGGGTCCTGATGACTTGGACCGGCCAGAGGACTGGGAGCAGGCAGAGGGAAGGCCAGCAGCCTGGCGAAGGCTTTGTCATCCCGGATGGATCAGGTTCCCAAAGACCAGCGGAGGCTGCCGGGAAGGTCGGCTGGTTGCTCCTAATGGCCTTGAAACTGCAACACCGCGGGACGCTGGCTTGGAAGCCAAGATGCATGAGCTACGGGGACTGGAGGAGGCACTGGAGGCGGTACGCGAGCTGGAGCAGGAGGCAGCCTCCCTGGGACAGGAGGGACCAGCGGAACACGAGCCAGGGGACGGCTCGGAGGACAGTTACCGCTGGGGCAGCGGCCCCTGTGCTACAGGCATGACAGGTCAGGAAAAGGCGTCTGGAGCGCAATCAGCCTGTGGCCCCTAGGAGGTGGGGCTCAAGGGCCGCCCACGGTTACTGATGTATTCCACTCTGCCCCCCAGGACGGGGAGGGTTAGGACGGCAGAGCCAGCAGAGGCCGGGGAGCCATCTGTGTGTCTT